CTAGCTTTGGCTCTCTGGCAGTGGGGCCCAGGGGATTTATGTATTTAACAAACCACTAGGGATTCTTTTTTTATTTTTTATTTTTTTAAGATTTTATTTATTTATTTGACAGACAGAGATCACAAGTAGGCAGAGAGGCAGGTGGGGGGGTGCGGGGGCTAAGCAGGCTCAGTGCTGAGCAGAGAGCCTGATGTGGGGCTCGATCCCAGGACCCTGGGATCATGACCCGAGCCGAAGGCAGAGGCTTTAACCCACTGAGCCACCCAGGTGTCCCGCCACCTGGGGATTCTTATGCACCCTAAAAATGCTTAAGAACCCCTGGTCTTGAGTATTACAATAAAGGTTTGAAGCATTACATATAAAAAATACTTTCTATAAACTGTAACGAATAAGTGTTACTTCCTATGAAAAGGGAACACCAGCGCCTTTTCATCAGTGGGAGAGTGTCAGAACCAGATTAGTCAGATCTGAAGTTTTCTTACAAGAATGTGTTCAGATGACTAACGTTTTGTCATTCACAGGTATTGTAGCTGGTTTGCATTCTTCTTAATAGAGCTTTCTTCATTCAGAAAAAGCTGGAAACTATAGCAAATAACAGGTCTAGCAGTTCCAAATTCCTTTCAGTGAAATATTCCATATTACTGTTACTCTCATCTATACAGGCTCCAACTGGTTTCCAATAAGGAAGACACAAAGGCCTCCCATTGCTAATTTCTGCTTTTTACCAGGGAGTTTGAAAATCCTAAAAAATGTATGTGAGTGCAGTTGTCTGCATACTTAAAAAAGAATAGTTGAGAAAAGGCAGCACAGAAACAACTTAGATACATCTGTGCCCAAGTCTCTATGTTGTGCTGTGCGCACCACAAGTGTGGCTACCCACTGTCACCACGCAGTGCTATTACAGTGTCATTGACTGTATTCCAAGGCTGTGCCTTTTATTTTCCTGACATCCTCATTCCGTACCTGGAAGCCTGTGCCTCCCACTCCCCTTCATCCCCTTTTGCCCATCCCCCACCCCTCCCCTGTGGCAACCATCAGTTTGGTCTTTACTTATGGGTCTATTTCTGTTTTTTATTTGTTTGTTTGCTCATGTGCTTTGTTTTTCCACTGTGAGGACACAGTGAGAAGGAAGGCACACAGCCATCTGCAAGCCAAGGAAAGGACTCCCCACCCATCCCCCCGGAACAGACCAGATTTCCCAGTCTTAGAACTTCAAATAGATCTTTGTGGTTCATAGGCCACTCAGTCTGTGGCATTTTGTTCTTGTAGCCCCAGCTGACTAACACAGGATGCTTAGAAGATCTGGGTACAGCATAAAATTTCTCCCTCGAACTTAAATTTTTAAAAGTCAGTGGATGATTACTTTCATGAATTGAATTAGTTACCCACAAGGCACAGTAGAAGAGATGCTGGGACATCAGAGTCAAATACAAAGAGAGAGAAACCATGAGGGGAAAGATAGAAGACCGGGGGACAGATCTAGGGCATGTGAATAATGGAGTTCCAGAAGGAGACAAAGAAACAGATGGAGAAGAAACAATAGCTACATAGGAGAATAATCTGAGACTACAGGTTGAAGATTTCACTGACTTCCAGATAGAATTGAAATTAAAAAAAAAAAAAAATCCACAATTAGCTACATCCTGGTAAAACTGAACTCCAAAATAGAAGAACAAAATCTTACAAACTTCTAAGTATAAGGAGCTGAGAAATGTACAGAGGAAAAAGCACCAGACTGGTCAGCCTCTAAGTTCACTGGGAAGAAAGTCCTTGAAGTCAAGAATTCCATACCCTTTCAATTGATCCCCACCCTCCAGGGTGAGAGAAGGAAGGTTGTCAACTTGGCAGGAATTTGGTCTTCATCCAAACGCCTGATCTGAGGAAAGTGTTAGGGATCTACACAGAGACCCTAAGGTAGGAGAAAATGAAAAGGAGAAGCACAAAGGTAGTCAGTGATCCACAAGACCTGTAGTATTTCATGTAAATGGATATTGAAGGATGCCTGGGACTGGGTAACAGAAGCACTGAAAGAAAGAAAAAGTTGTTGAAATAGAAGTGACATTTTACAAGGAAAATTCTAATTATAGCCCAACTAGAAGTCCTGAGTTATTTTAGCAAAGCTGAGTTGGGGAAGAAAAGTAAAATCCTTCCCAATAAGCCATCTGGGTTGGAGGTTGAAGAAGGGTGGGCATGAGGTGTGCTGAGTGTCTCATGCGGAGGAGAGGGGAGCCATGCAGGAGCAGAGCCTGGGGTGGACGCGTGTGGTTATGGATGTGGAGAAGGGAAGGGGGCCTTTCATGGAATAGCAATGGCCACGAACATTCCCCAGTTCACAAGGGGAGGGAGGACGATGAATGGTAACCTGATTAAGCTGGTCAAAATAAGGAAAAGGAGTGAGGAAGCAACAAGAAGCAACATAAATTATCTATATAAAGTGAGATGAAACGTTGAAGGAAAACACAAGCCAGGGGGAGTGTCATGATTGAGGGCAGTCTGTGGAGCCAGAGTCCCCAGTTCAAATCCCAGTTCAGATCCTTACTGACGGTGGCTTTGGGCAAGCTACTTAATATCTTAGAGATTTCACCTCCTGTGAAACGGGGGTAATAATGGTACCTGTTTCAGAGGGTGAAGGATTAAATGGGTGAACATGCCTACAGCATGCAGAATAGTGCCCGGCGTACAGTTAGACCAAGCAGGTGTTTGCCCTATTATTTACACAGCATAGCTGCAATGTTAATATTAGGCGAAAAGAAACAGCATTATGAGCACTACATCAGAAGAGAAGGTGATCGTGTAATGGTCAGGCCACTTTGATCACAAATCTGTATGTGCCAAATAAGATGGCAGCTAAAGACATAAAATGAAAAGTGTTAAAAATGTAAGGAGAACTTGATGAAAATATTTTACAAGGGGAGAATTCATAAACCGTCTTTCACAGATGGAGAGATCTACCAAAAATAAATAAAATCTAGAGAGAGTGAGTAGTGGAATCAGCAAACTCAATCAAACAGACAATATTGAACCGTTTGTTCCTTCAGTAGTTTTTTGCGTGCAACATTTAATAACATGTGCCACAAAGCAAATTCTAATATATTAAAAAAATTAAATATATCACAGACCATATTTTTGATCCTCAGCCAGTAATGTAGAAATAAGTGAGAAAAATGACCAAAAAACTTAACTGCTTGACAATGAAAAAACACAACTCTAATCCCTAGATACCTCAATATCTTCAGATCAAAGAGGAATTCAGAGCTGAAAACCGTAAGAAGGAAAGCACTTCACACCCAACCTGAGGACACAGCAAATACTGTTCTAAGTCAAGTCTTCATTCTGAAGGAAGACATCATCTAAATAAAGGAACTCAGTGCTCATCTTGGGAAATTTCTAGAAGAGCGAGTAGACCCAAAAGGAAGCAAGAAGAATGTAAAAATAGGAAGCTGACATTAATCAAGTAGATGAACATGATTAAATGGTTGAAAGGGAAAAGATACAAGAAATCAAGAGCTTCTTCTTTGCAAAGGGGAGGGAAGGTGGTGGCAGTGAGGGTGGCCTGAGGGGCGGAATAAAAGTGGAGAAGGGCAGGACAGGAAGGAAGGCATGCACGAAAGAACAAGGAAATAGAAGAAATGTCGGATGTAACTTGTGCTTTTGTGAGGTCTCCTGTGACCTAGGACTTGGGTTTTCCAGTCTGTCCGTCTGTCTGTCTGTCGTGCTTCAGCCCAATCTCTTTCCTATTCTGGGCGGGCAGCAAGGCAGCATGTGTTACAGTGTAGGTTCTGGAGCCTGGTTGCTGGGTCAGTGCTGGCTGGTCACTTGCCGTCCGTGGGACTTTGTAGCGGAGCAGCTGCTTGTGCCTCGGTCCTGGCCTGTCACATGGGGCTCCCGAGAGCATGGATTTGCTTTGGCACATGGCACTGTGCAGGGCAGCACCAGTCTCCTGTTTCTGGTCCATGCTCAGTAAACAACAGGGTGACCTCCCCATCTGCATTGCCACCACTCCTTAGAGGCATTCCCAGCATGGATGTCCCATGAGGCCGTGCTTCCGCTGGGCCTCGGTTTTCAAGCAGCTCTCCTTTCATTTAATGCTTATCTAAGAGACACCATTCTGCCTTTGCAGCACCAGTACTGTTCTGAGATAAGTACTAGAAGGAGATCAGCATTTGCTGTCTTCAGGGCACGCTGGGCATTGCAAGTGCTTCCTATGCATTAGCTCATGTAACGTTCACCGTGCCCTGAAGAGTACAATCACCATTACTATGAACCGATGAGAAAAAGGAAGCTAGAACTTTGCACACTTGCCCAGGATCGCCACACAGGGAGAGGAGCTGAATTTGGACCTGACAACCCCTGCCCATCCCTGTCTCTGCTTGCTCTTCATTTATTGCTTCTTGGTAGATTTAGGGAGTGTTCACTTAAAGCAATGACTATTGAAAAACAGCCTGGGGTGGTAGAAAGAGCTCTGAACTGTAGAGCAAATGTCCAGGGTCTGAGTTCTAGTCAGAGCTTTGCCCCGTCCTGCAGCAGCACGGAGGAGTTGGGGGTGGTGGGCTCCACCAAGTCACGTGACATCCAAGTCTCAGGTTTTTTGTTTTTGTTTTTTTTTAAGATGTTATTTATTTCTTTGAGAGAGCAAGAGAGCACAAGCAAGAGGAGTGGCTGAAGGAGGGGAAGGTGCAGCAGGGAGCCTGATGCGGGGCTCAGTTCCAGGACTCTGGGATCATGACTCGAGCCGAAGGTAGACGCTTAACCAACTGAGCCACCCAGGTGCCCCAAGTCTCAGAGTTTTTAGTAGCAGATGAAGGGACTGGGTCTGTGTGAGAGCTCTGAGGTCTCTCTGAGCCCCTGGTTCTCCGTACACATATATATCCTGTGGCTGTTAAAAAGAAGCCTCTTATGAATGGAGTTAAATGGTCTTATTTTTGCCAAAAATAGAAAATGCTTTTGTGGCAGCACGTACATCTCAGACAACCTTCTTGGTGGTTTTTTGTGTCGCTCAGGTACTGCAGGAGCAGATCCGGGCCCGGGACAACATCAGCTACGGAACGAATTCCGCCTTAAAGACCTTGGAGATGCGTCAGCTCTCGGGTTTGGGAGACCTGCGGGGAAGAGTGGCAAGGTAAGTGGTCGGATGTGTGGGACTCTGTCTGTCAAAAGCTGTCTTACATCAGCTCCATTTCACAAAGTATATATTCACGAAGCCCCAGAACAAATTCTTCGCATTCTTCTAGTACAGCCCCTCCTTTGCCAGTAAAATCGCAGGTAGAGCTTACACCTGATTATGAGCATGCCATGATTTCTTATGTTGCTGCAATTGGAGTTGTGTTTGGGGAAGGAAATGATGGAGAGCACGGCCGACCTGTGTAATTTGGCCTTCGAAATATTATATTTATTGACTCCAATAAGACAAAGTTGAGACTTCTATTTTGTGTGTCTCTTAAAATTTTCATTTTCCTTGTAATTTATTTTTATTTTATTTTCTGAAAATATTGGTCTGCCACAGATTAGAAATTTAGAAAAAGAGATCTTTGACCTCAGATAGTATGCAAGAGGCTGTTCCACAACTGAAAGCGTGCTCTGTGGACCAGCAGCACTGGAATCACCCGAGAACTTGTTGGAAATGCAGGATCTCAAAAATATTCATGGGCCTCTTCTGCCCTCTGCTGCTGTTAAGCATCAAGTACAAGTCTACACGGGAGCTGTGGAGCCGATCAGCATTCCAAATCAGGCTGAGGTGAAAATGCACATGGTCTCTAAAGGGTTGGATGGAAGAAAGATCAGGACCCACAAGACCCAAAGCCTGTATGGAGTAGAGGAGGCGGTGTCGGGGGTATTTGTGCGGACAGCACTTGAAGAACCTTGAATGTGGGGCGTGTGTGTCCGGGTCTGGTGGGTGAACATCAGTCTCATAGCAGAGAACTGTGAATTGGATGTAGGCCTAGTTGTGTGGTTTTCTATTCTCATTTGAGTCAGCTCCAGTCTTCTTAGCATGACCCTTGGTGATGAACCCCACTGACCTCCTTATCTCTCTTACCCCTGGCACTGAACCTTTCAGCAGTGATCTGCTATTTGTTATTTCCTGACTGGGCCATGCTTTCCTATCTGTGTATCTTTGCACATGCTGTTCTTGCATTCAGCATACCTTTCCCCCTTTTTTCTAATGTCTAGTCAGCCTTTCAAGTTCAGCTCAAATATCACCTCCTTCAGGAAGTCTTCCGTGATTGCCCACTCTCCTGAGCTCCCCTAGCATTTTGTTCTATTGAATCTCTCTGTTTTCTTCACTGTCTTGGGGCGACTACCACATCTTTTATTTTTGTAATGTGCGTGCATAGAACAGTCTCTGGAAAACAGTAGATAATTAATATTGGTTTGGATGAGTCAGTAATCTAGAAAACCTCTGTAATAGGACTGAAAAACTTGAATCCTTTGTGTGGAGATTGGCTTAAAAGCAACCGTGTTCTGCAACACCTCCCAGAAGAGTGAGGAGTTAGAAGGGCTTCAGAGCTACAGGGCAGAGCAGGGACTTCTGGAAAACTCTTGAGGACCTGTGTGTGCACTCTAGCTGAAGGTGAAGATTAAGTGGGGCAACATATGGACGAGGCCTAGCACAGGGCGTGCCATGGAGTGAACACATAACCCGCAGGAGTGCTTATTATCACAAGGGCAGCAGCCATGAAAATAGACTCATGAAGCTGGTTCCAACTACAAAATCAAGAGATGACCTTGAAGTATTTTCAGGAATTTTACATTTTTCCTATGCAGTTTCTTACTAACTTCTCTACCCAGCAGGTTCCTTCTCTGTAATAAATACTTTATTTACTCTGAAACAATCATGAACATTTATTATGAAAACCCCCTATTTTTCCTTTTTCTGTGGTTCTACTTGTCTTTCCCCTGGAATGCTAATGAGACTGATTGTTGAAATCAGCTTCTTTTCGAGAAAGGAATTTGTTGGCAAAGTTTTGGCTCTTTTGAATTGAATTGGAAAAGTATAACTTTTTTTTTTTTTAAGATTTTTTTGTTTATTTACTTGAGACAGAGAGTGAGAGAGCACAAGCTGTTGGGAGGGGGGGCGGTGGCAGAGGGAAAGGGAGAGGCAAGTTCCCTGCAAGCAGGGAGCCCGATGCGGGACTTGATCCCAGGACCCTGGGACCATGACCTGAGCCAAAGATGAAGTCTTAACTGACTGAACCACCTGGGCGCCCCTAAACTTTTTTTTTTTTTTTTTAGATTTATTTATTCATTTGAGAGAGAGAAAGTGAGAGAAAGCACGGGTGAGCAAGGGGAGGGGAAGTGGGAGAGGGAGAGAGAATCTTAAGCAGACTCTGTGCTAAGTGCAGAGCCCCATGCAGGGCTCAGCACAGGGCTTTATCTCACGACCCTGAGAGCAGGACCAGAGCCAAAGCCAAGAGTCGGATGCTCAACTGACTCTCCCACCCAGACGCCTCAGGAATATGAACTTTTTAAGTGGTAGTCTTCAATTTCTAGTCTGCTATCTTGTTTTAGGTTTTATTTTCCAGTGTTTGTGGATCCATGGGTGATGCCACATCATGATAGGAAGCAGGACCTGCAGCTTCCCCCATGCTTCTATGTGGAGGCTCCAACACCCTTACCCCACTAAGAGTGGCACCCTCTGAACAGGACTTTCTCAGAGGGTTTCCCGTTCCCTCCTGAAGTGGAGCTAAGGGAGTTCAGCATTCCCATTCCCACTGGAGCAGCTGGTCTGTTACTTGGCCTGCTGAATCATTTTTTCTAGTGCTCAGTGGCCACTTCCACTTTCCCCTACAAGGTCTGTTTTCCTGGCATCAGAGCCCTAGAGGAGAAGTGGCTGCACACAGAGGCAGATACCCAAGTTCCCTCAAGGTAAGCAAGTCCAGGTGCACAGGAAAAAATAAATTGGACATCATCAGATTAAAAATCAGGCTCTTATAAATAATGCTGCCACCAACACTCATATACAAGTTTCTGTGTGGCCATATGTTTTCATTTCTCTTGGATATATATACCTAAGAGTGTAATTGTTGTGTAATGTGGTGACTCTATATTTAACCTTTTTAAAAAAGATTTTATTTATTTATTTGAGAAAGAGATGAGAGAGGGCACAAGTTGGGGGGTGGGGAGGATGACGAAGACTCCCTACCGAGTAGAGAGCCTGACATGGTGCTCGATCCCAGGACCCAGGTATCATGACCTGAGCCGAAGGCAGACCCTTCATCTACTGAGCCACGCAGGTGCACCTGTATTTAACTTTTTGAGGAACAGAACAGTCAGACTGTTTTCCAAAATTGGCTACACCATTTTATGGTGTCAGCAGCCCTATGTAAGGGCTCTGATCTCTCCCCGTCCTCACCAACACTTGTCTGTATCTGATTAGAGCCAACCTCATGGGTGGGAAGTTAGCGTCTTGTGGTTTTGATTTGCATTTCCCTAGTGACTAATGGTGCTGAACATCATTCAGCGTGCTTATTGGTCATTTGTAAGTCTTCCTTGGAGAACTGTTTTTGTAGATCCTTTGCCCATTTTTAAGTGGATTAATTGTCTTCTTATTATTGAGCAGTAGGAGTTCTTTATATATTCTAGATTCAGTTCTCTTACCAGATATCTGAGCTGAAGAAGTTTTACCCCTTTCCAAGGGCTTTCTTTTCACTTTCTTGATTTGGGTCCATTTGGTCCTTTAAAAAAATTACTTCTGTCTCTTTGTTGATACTCTCTATTTGATGAGACATTATCATTATACCTCCCTTTGCTTCTTAAAGCATGTTTTTCTATTTCTTTGATCATCCTGCATATATTATGGCTGCCTTAAAGTCTGTGTCTATTAAATCTGACACCTGTTTCCTCTCACTGGCAGTTTCTTTTCCTGCTTTTATTCTGTGTTTAGTTCACATTTTCTGGTGTTTTTGTGTGTCTCATAATTTTTTATTGAAGACTGGACGTTTTAGGTATTATAGCATAGCAATCCTGAATACTGACAGCCCTTACCCCCATTTGCTTTTGTTGTTGTTGATTTGTTTAGTGACTTGGATGGGTTCTTCTAATGATGTCTGTTTCCCCTGGAATATGAAGGGTCTGGTGCTCAGTCAACCTTGTGAGGACAGTAGTTTTAGCAAGACTCTCTTTGACTCTTTCCCTGATCGATATTATTTATTTATTTATTTTCTTTTTTTTCCCCCTGATCTTTTATTAAGCTGGTGGCCTCTGCAGGTATCACACACCTAGATCTTAGGCTCCATTAATTGCTGGTAAATTGTTCTACTGTTTGTTTGTGTTTAAAGATTTCTTTATTTATCTTCTTACTGGGGTGGGGGAGAGAGAACGAGCAGAAGGGGCACAGGTAGAGGGACAGAGACTCTTAAGCAGACTCTATGCTGAGTGTGGAGCCTGATTTAGGACTCGGTCTCACAACCCTGATCATGACCTGAGCTGAAACCAAGAGTCGGACACTTAACCAACTGTGCCACCCAGGTGCCTCTCTACTGTTTTTGATGATGCCCTGTGATAGAAATTGCTCTATGCTCTGATTCAATTAAATTATTGCCTGCCTTTAAGGGCTTAGCTGTGTATATATATAGGAATTATTATATATATAGGTAATTATAATATGGAATATGAACAACTTAATGTTTTAAATGTCACTGCCTTTGGTGCACTATGCCACCATGTCACAAACTATAAGAAACATTCTGCTTAAGCCAGTTGCCTGGTCAGTCTGTTGCTAGACCTCTGGGACTCTTGGGCTTCTGACCATGTCCCCATCATTGATCTGATTACCAGGTGAAAAGTTACTCTGCCACACAATGGCCACAACTGAGAACTGCACCTGGGAGACAGCTATATCTAAAGACCTGAAAAGGGAAATTTTGGAGTGACTACATTATTGGCTCATCTATAATATAAACTTGGGATAAAAGAGGGCAAGGGTAACTCGTCAGTTTCATTGTGAATTCTTGTTTAACAAAGGCTGCTGAGCCATGCACACAGTTATATTTAGAACCCTGAGGCTGTCTTTTATGAGTGTTTTTTGGGAAAAGACAGAAATGATGCTTTTAATTCAATATTAGCCAAGATAACTATATAGTTTCCCCCTTTTGTCTTATTTATCTATTTATTTATTTTGAA